TGGGATTGAATGCAGCCTCAGCAAGTTTGCTGACAACACCAAGCTGTTTGTGCAGTTGGAACACTGGAGGGAAGGGATGCCATCTAGAGGGACCAGGACAGACTTGAGAGGAGGGCCTGTGTGAACCTCATGAAGTTCAACAAGGTCAAGTGCAAGGTGCTACACCTAGGTTAGGGCAATCCCAAGGACAAGTACAGGCTGGGCAGAGAATGGACTGAGAGCAGCACTGCTAAGAGGGAGGAGAAGAACTTGGGAGTGCTGGTGGATAAGAGGCTCAACATGGCAATGTGCACTTGCAGTCCAGAACGCCAGTTGTATCCTGGGCTGATCAAAAGCATTGTGGCCAGCAGAGCAAGGGAGGTGATTCTAACCCTCTATTCTGCTCCTGAGAGATCCCACATGGAGTACTGCGTCCAGCTCTGAGGCCTCCAATGTAAGAAAGACGTGGACCCCCACTGGAGCAAGTTCATAGGAAGGGCATGACAATGATCAGGGGTCTGGAGAACCTCTCCTACAAAGGACAGGCTGAGAGAGTTGGGGTTGTTTAGCCTGGAGAGGAGAAGGCTCTGGGAAGACCTTATAGTACCTTCCAGTACCTAAAGGGATGCTAAAAGGGAGCTGAGAGGAACTTTTTACAAGGGCATGGAGTGATAGAACAAGGAGGAATGGTTTCAAACTGAGTGAGGGTGGATTTAGGTTAGATACTAAGAAGAAATTCTTTACTGTGAGGGTTCACTCACTGGCACAGGTTGCCCAGAGGAGTTGTGGTTGCTCCATCCCTGGAAGTGTTCAAGGCCAGGCTGGATGGGGCTCTGAGCAACCTGGTCTAGTGGAAGGTGTCCCTGTCCATGATGGGGGGATTGGAACTAGGTGATCTTTAAAGTCCCTTCCAACCAAAACCATTACTCTGATTATTCACCTCAAAGCTCCTTATGTACTTGCAATAACTTAGTTAGTCTTGTCCCCATGGAAAATGGTAATGAAACAGGATCGGAGAAAAAACCTGCTTGAAATGTATACCCAGGAAAAGGCGGGCAGAAGCACTGAGTGCTAAGGAGAGAAGATGCTGCTAAACGTGGAACCATTAACCCTGAAATACAGGATGATGTCTTTCATCTGCATTTGGAAGGAGATTTCTATGCATCTGGACCTTGGTGAGGGGGACACAGAAATGTTCTTGGAGGCTCAGGGTGGCCAGATGTTTTCATGTGCAGAACATGAGCCTGAGAAAATGATTGAGCAGACAAGTATTGCCCATTCTACAAAACAGCTAAGCTGTATCCTCTTCTGCAATACCATCTGCTGTGGAGGTCACCTCTCCACAACATCTATGTCCTTCAGACTCCTGGGTCTGGAGCCCCTTCTGGAGGAGGGTCTGTTTACACAGTTGTCATCAAACTACTCAGTAGAACAGAAATCGTTCAGGCCAAGTTGGTGCTCGCAAGACAACAGGGAACACAGGAATATCACCTGGTTCATCCTGTGAGAGCAGATTGGCCTCTAAACAGCACCTAAAATTCCTGTTCTTTCTGGACAATAGTAGTATCTGCCAGGAGCCTGTCTTATGTGTCAGTGTCTGCTGCATGAGCTAACACAAAAATGAGTAAAAGACAAGTATTGTTTAAATACATATGGAGCGCTAGGACAAATTCATCACTCTTTACACAGAATATTATGAGTAGGAAGGGACTTATAATTAAAGGTGAGTAGACTCTGGAGATTTTAGGAACATCCAGATATTGCAGGTATCTTTACTTCTTTATTTAGAGTAGTTCCAGGGGGGATGTTAGTATGTTTGTTTCCATAGAGGGAGGATGAATACAGACCCCTGGATTTTCTGATATAGTCCCACTAAGATGGTGATTGCTAATTTGAAGTATGAACAGCAACAGGCACTGTGTGAGGAACTACCTTTTCTTTAGGGGAAGAATGCAGAGATGGATAGAGACATTGGAGCTGAGATCTCACCAGTTTTGATGGCATCTTATTATCTTGTCTGGCAACCCTCCTCTTCTTCCCTTACCAAACACATACACACAGTGCAACTCTTGGCATCAGCATGGAGCAGAGCAGTACGTGTCTAGACATTTACCATGTGCATTTCAACTTAAATGGTCTGGCATGGAGCACCCACAAACCTTCAGATAATAGCACAGTTGTCTGCATAGATGTAGGGTGTGTGCATGTTTTGGCAAGCAAATATTACTCTTTTCTTCCTGTATCATCTCAGTGACAGAATTCTGGCAAAAGGGCTTGTGCCTGCACAGATGGCTATTTTGTATGATTTTGCAGTGTTTCTCCTGTGAGTGTGGCATCAGGTAAACAGAATACAAAGATCATTTTTTTGAAAGGAACCTTCATATGAACCTTCATAGCTAGCCTGCATCTCCTGAAATATGGTTAGAAAATAAACTCTTCAGTAAGCTCCAAAAGAGGGAGACAAAAGGAATATTAGGGGTGAGGGAGCAGGACTGAGATTTAGGTGCCAGATCTCCTCTATGTTTGTCAGTTACTGGTGTACCTACAGCAGCACTGAGTCTGGACAGGCAGCCTGTGAGTTACACACATAAAAATTCAATCTTGTGGCACTTGATCCAGAACCTTTCAGTGCTGATATGATTATAACCCAGAGCACCAGTGCTTGCAAAGGCCCTTCTGGATATGGGGTGTATGTTTCTGGCCACTTAATGCTTTTCCAAATTCTGCCTGACAGGTCCCAGAGAGAACTCCTGTCCACACTCGGTAAGGGTGTAGGTTTTGTTAGTGTTTCCTGGTGATGCCCCAACAAGTCCTCCAAGTACTTCACAAGATGTTCAGGCATAACTCTTAAAGCTTCATTCATATGCTGACAGGCAATGGTGGGCAAAGGGCTTTGTGTTTTGGTAGGCAGCAGCTGAAGTCAGCAATGAAGGCAGGATGGGAATACCCTTATCTTTAAACAGAACCCATCCACTGGTGTGGTACTGAACTAAGATTCCAGACTTTTCCAGGACTCTTCCACACTGTCCAAGAATGAAAGGGATAAACTGGTTTCTTCCAGACAAAAGAAAGCAAATTATGCTGAGTAAAAAAAAAAAAAAAGAAATCAGAAGCAAGGATGCTATATTTTCTGCAGGAGTTGAAGGCAGGTAACTCTTGTTCCACCCTTCCAATGATACAACAGCCTTACAGATGGTAGGTGATACCTGCCTGCCATCACAAAACCATAATTTTATTTCATTTTAAATTCATAAGTATTTCCTTTTTTGCAAGTACTAGAGCTGCACGCTGCTCACCGCAACCAGCACTTTCTGATCTGGCTACATTTTCAAGCACTGGAGCAACTCATGCCATTTTTTGTAGTTTATGAAGACAAGGTATCTAGTAGGGAGAAAAGGAAAAAGTGATACAGACTTTAATGGACACCACCATGTATAGAGTATGAAGCATTCCAGAATGGCCATCTGTGTACCATGTTCTGTTGTGGCACTTGACTCACTGTCCCTGTTCAGGACTGAGGTAACACTAACAAGAAGCTATTACTCTTAGCATTATCAAGTATCAGAATTTAGCTCAAACTAGATACACCAATTTTGAAAATCTGGAATATGGAGAAACTGGGAAGTATGACTTCATTTCTTAGCACATGATAAACCCTGCCTTGGGAAGCCAGAAGCAATATAAGTCTCTGTCTGCTGTTGCTGTTCAACAAATTGCCTGAGTAATACTGGGATTCAAGAAATGGCCACAATAATTTTCACACCCCGGCCTGTCAGAAGTTAATTAATGACTGTGGGATTAATTACAGTGTGATAATTCCAGTGAGGCTGATGCTGTTGTACCCTCCAGGACAAGCAGCATTGTATGGTTAGGCTCTTGATTTTAGCAGGCTGTTTCCCAAAATGCTCTTGGTGCTCTCAGAAGTCCTTGGGTAAGCTACCATGAAGCAGTTGGAGCTTGCAAGATGGCAAGCAGCTTGTAGGGAAATGTGGGCCTCAATGTTACTAATCCATGGGCTGGGCAAAATCTGCAACAATAGAAACATCTTTTTTAAATCATATCTTCCCATAGTTACACCTCTGCAACTGCAGTAAGTTAGCAGTGGCTGAAAAATCAAAGGTTAGAAGGAGAAATCCAACATCTCCCTCCTCTTGACTGTGAAGTGTACCACCTCTTCCTTTTTCCTGCAACACTGAGATGGTCGCTGTGGGGATCACTAGCTCAGTGCATGCAGAACAACCTTTCACAGCTAAATTCATTGGGCTGCAAAATCCCATTAGCTTCAGTCCAGTAAAAAGTAGATCTAATAAAGTATAGTAGATCTAATAAAATTATAGTGGTATCATAAAAATGCATTACTTTTTCATAAAGGATATTAAGTGTCTGAACATCTATAAAAAGATTCTCCATCAATCCTCTACTTTCATTTCCTGCCTATAGGACTAAAGCTCTCCTTTAGGAAATGCACGCTGCATGTCTTCACTTAACTCCTGGTATTCATCAAGATGCACCTGCCTTTGGTCCACTGAAGCAACAAGACCTGATTCTGTTGTGCCTGACTGGATGAAGAAAGTGGATATGAGTTTAAAATAAGATTTGACTGGCATTGCCTGTCCAGCTTGCACAGACACCTGTGGTGGAGAGATGCACTGGCAGTACAGTGTCAGCCTGTATATGAATAGAGTGAGTTTTTCACCGGCCCCAGAGTCAATTAACAAAGGAAAAACCTTTGCCTTTGCCATCCTCCCACTGTTTCTACAGCAAGGCAAGAGATGCTGTGTTACTTCCTCTCTATTACTGGCTCTGTGTGACATTTTTAGCTTTGCAGCAACCTCAGGGTGACTTCTTGTTATGCCCCTTCTGCCACATCTGAGTTTTCAGTGCAAAAATTCATGAGAAACCATCAGGGAAGTTCATATTTCTTACATTCTTCACATTTTATGAAAAACAAGTTGGTATTAGTCAGAAATGGTGGCAACATGGCACTAGGATAAGCTACTTTTATTCTCTTTGTTTTCTAGAATATACAATTAAGCTCAACAAATTTCCCATCTTTAATTTTGATGACTTCAAGTTCCTGTGTGTCAGTGCTGTGAGCTCCACCACCACCTAGGCCACTCCCTGTGCTCTCAATGTATGGACACACAGGTGCATGACCAAAGGACTCAGAGATTATATGGACATCACTAAGGTCAGAAAACTTAGCAAAATACCAGTTTTTTTCAGTGCTGGAAGCCAGCCCTATGGCCAAATGAAGTTATCACAAAGTTTAAAAAGAGATGAGATTTCAGTCTTCTTTATAGCCTTGTGGTTTTGGGGATTTTCCAAGTTTTTCTTAATAATCCTGTAACCTTTTCTAATTCACACCCTGTTTCCTTTATGGTTGAGCCAGGGTGATGCTAAAGATTTCCTTGTATGTAACACTTTGCACAACCTTGGTCTCATGCTCCACGTGACAGAATTTCCCATTGTTACCCTAAGGGACTAAGTGCTCACAAAATTTCTGCTTCTTGAGCATTTGAGGACTTTTCTCCAAAAATGAACTCCCAGAAACATCAGTGTTCACCCCATTCCAAAAATAAGGACTATGGCTAAGGTGCAAAGTATAAAAGCCCCATTCACATTTTTATAACTAAGTTTCTCTGTTAGGTTAATCTAAGACATTGGCAAGCTAGAACAGCTTGAGTGCCAGCCTGATTGCAATACTGACATCTCATGGCTAAAAGAAGCAGCTCCTACTGCTTCTCCTTTTTCTCCTCTTAGTCCTCCTTCACCTACTTTTCCTTCTTCACCTGAAACGTATCCATTTCCCTATGTATGATGTTATTGTGAAAGTACAGAGTATTGCACCCAAGTGGTAGGTAACACATTTACCCATGGTCACTTCACTGTGACTGGAACCTTCATTCACTTCAAAAAAGCCAGGAATTGGTCTTCTTTCTTTTGAATCTGGATTTCTACAGCTGGTGTGACAGTCAAATGCTCAGCATCTTTTGAAAATGAAAGCACTTTAAGGTGTCTCAAGTCTGGCACCCAAATGATGTAATTTGCAAAAATCGGTGGTGAGTTGTAAAAATAATTGCCTTAAACTTCCTTTTTTTCCTCCCCCCACCCCAGATATGGCTTGATACACTCTCTGTTGAGAAGAAAACTTTATTTCAGCTGGAGCTGCAACAAGCCTTTAAGCCACAAAGAAAACCTAGGAGACTTGAAACAGAGTTGTGGACGTGAAATTTGATTATGTGCAATCAGCTTCTATTCTAATGGAAAGGTATGGCTTTTTTTTTCCTACTGTATTGCAGTGCTGTAAGAGGATTGATGAGGTTTACCAATCCCACTGTAAATTTTTCTAGTACTGTATAATACCTTGAAATAACAACTTCAGTTCAATAGGTATATGATTGTAAAGATAAAATAATGGCATTTAATTGTAATTTTTTTTGAAAGATAGTTTCTCCTTCCCTCAGATTATTTGAATGCTCTTTATTTAAAATATTAGTTTGATTTGTAGGCTCTGTATGTTGTAATATATAGTATTGTTTCTGTCTTTTGAATGATTTTGCGTAGCATTATTTTAAAGAAAGCAATTCACTGGATATTGAAATACTGAGTAGCATCAACTTTAGAAGGGGAAACATCTGCTAGGAGAAGCTGCTACCTACAACCCTCAAAGGCTGTGGACATTATTTTCCATTGTCAGAGTGTTCTAAAGAGTCTGCTCCTGAGAAGTCTTGGCAGCCTTTGCTGGAGTAGGCAGAGGATTTTCAGGATTTCCAGACATACTGAAGACATGCATGAAGGAGCTCCTTCTGCCTGAAGGGGTTTCAGGTGTGCATCATGGGCATTACTTCCAGAGGAAAAATGATCTTTGACTGTTATGACCCATCCCAGAAGGAGAGGGTAACCCAGGTTCTTATTAATAAATCCCTTGGGGTGGATTAGAGTGAATGATTGGTGTTTGTAAACATATATAGGATTTATTTTAGAACAATTTGTTTCAAAGGTAAACAGGTATGTTGCCATTTTGGGTGTTATCATCTGTAGTAATATAGCAATATTAAAGCATCTGTAGTAATATAGCAATATTAAAGCATCTATAGCAATATAGCAACATTAAAGCATAGCAATATAGCATTTATTAAAGCACAGCAATATTAAAGCACCTATAGCAATAAAGCTATAGTGCTATTAAAGCATAAAGTGCTATTAAAGCATAAAGCATAAAGCATATTGCTATTATAGCAATATTGTAACATTAAAGCATAACCATCTATAGCAGTAAAGCATTATGAAACCATAGAGATAACACTTAAGGAAACACATAAGGGAGAGAAAGGGAAAGAAAGGATAAGGGTGGAAAGATGTATATAGTCATGTCCCAGTGGATCCGGTGATGAAACCTGGTAGTTACAGCTTTGATGTCTGCTGATTGAAGTGATGGTCTTGATCTGTTGGGGGAGAAGGGGAGAGGCCCACCAAACTCAAAGATGTTATGAGTTATTATACACTTCCACCACAGGTGGGAACACCTTGTACCTCCCCAGGCCGGGGAGTTTTACAATTGATAGTGTCACAGGACATGTCATGAGTCTCTGCATCTCCTGAGACAGTTGCAGTTGCCTGTTGTGTCAGCATCAGTCCTGGTCCATCATGGTCTGACATTTGAGATGCATAGCCCAGGCTAGATGCACAGAGTTATCATGTGAAGGGGGGACATTGGCATGATAAGAGGGATTCTCCCACCTTGCAGGATTTGCCTCTTCTTAGCCTCTTCCCTTATCTGGAAATCCAGTTTGTAATTTCAGGTGTGCATCTGCACCCAGGATAGTTGGACAATGGCACCCAGTTGTCTGATCTGAAGGTCCTTTGGCAGTATTTAGGGAGGAGTGGGCTTTTCTGGGTGAGCAGCTGCTTCTTTTTAGTTTGTAAAAGTCTTTTGGTGATCTTAGAATGTGTAAGGCATTAACTGTTTCAGTTTCTGACACTGACATAATTTTATTTTGCTTCATGGGTGATGGTAAAGTGCATTCCTTGTTAAAAAATACCATTCTGTGCCCTGATGAGAAAATCACCACTTAAGAGCAAGGAAAAGCAGCAGTTGGGTTGGGATAACATTTATTTGTCTTTTAAAGGAGCAGGGAAAGCTGTTTTAACACAACAAACATTTTGAAGTCTGAGTACACTGAGAAAATCAGACTTCTTGTTCAGTAACTGATTGAGGAACCTCCTTCATAGGTGCTAGAGCTCCACCTACAGTCACTGCCAGTGAGCAGGTTGGGAACTTCTGGTGGTCATTGGCAGTAAAAGTGGTCATGGTGTGGTTTCCTTAGGCACGAATAGAAAGTATGAAATTCCCAGTAACTCTTCCTCTAATTTCTACAAGTTTTTTTCCCCTAATTTCATTGCTCAGTTGATGTGGCTGTATTTGGTGGGTCAGGAATGCTCTGTGCTGGACCCCAGAGGCCTGGCCCTGTGGCAGCACAGGGTGGAGGGTGTCCTAGAGAAGACCTCAGCTCCCTTTTCTGCCCATGTGCCCAGGGGAAACCTGACGTTGCAGGAGAGGCGGGCACTTGCCTGGGTTCAGACCTCTGCAAAAACAACTTGTTCCATACATTAGCATAGGGAACATACAGAACAACAGGACTGGTGGGTTTAAGGCACTGTCGTAGGGACTGCTGTGGTTTTCCACGCTTTGCAAAAGACTGAATATTTTGTAGGTGAAAACTGAATAAATCCCCAGGGTCAGTAGGTAGAGCGCCTTTGAATCCTTCAGTGTGTGGCCCTCTTCTTTTTCTCCTGCTGTGGCATCTGATCCCATAGAGGAAATACAGAGCAACAAAGCACTATGTGGTGGGGTTTTTTAATAATGACATAAAGTGAGTGAGAAAAAAAGCTACTGAGTGAAGAAGACTTGATCTGGATTTTTTCTAACTGTATGTCTTATTCCTTTGCCTGATGTCCTTGAGTTGGAGGATTTGATGTCTAGGTTGCTCTGAAATAAAAGCAGAATTGCCTCTGTAAACTGTGGAACCACTATGAACTGTACTGTTACAGAAATTACTTGAATATGGGGAAGAATATGTGCTGTTTAACTGTCAATTTTTGTCACAGGGAACATTTGCCTATTAGCTAAACTTCTTCCTCAGTATTGATGTTCTTGCCATCAAACAGGACCCCCAAGTTCTTTTCTGCAGCACTGCTCTCCAGCCTCTCATTCCCTAGTCTATACAAACCAGTGGTGTCCTGTCCCAGGTGCAGAATTGTTAAATTTCATACAGTTAGTGATTGCCTATCTCCCTAATTTGTCGAGGTCTCTCTGCAGGGACTCTCTGCCAGAGAGGGAGTCACAGACATAGAGAACCCATCAATTGTAAAAACATACATGCCTTTCTACAATGCAAGATGGGGGACATGGGTTAATGAAGATATTGGGGGAGAGGGGATGTTCTTATCTTTTTGAGGTACCTCACCACTGAGAACTGCTAGGCGCAGAGAATGGTACATGGGCAGCCTCAGCACATACAGAACAGAATTGAAAGCATTAGTGTACAGAGATTTGGGTTCTCATCTGTACTCTGACAACACATAACTAGAGGGCCTCAGCAAGGCCTCCCCTTCTGTGACTCAGCTGATGTTTCTGTTCAGTGAGGAAAACCATAGCTACTGCTTGGTAAGGCTATTCCATAAGCTTGGTGATAGAACAGCATAAAAGAGCTGCTCTGCACTTGGAACCAACACTCACTGCAAGGAGTGCTCTACTGAAAAATTAAGACATTCCCACCTTTCCCCTGCCATGTCAGAATAAAGCAGAACACTACAGCATAATTGTTGATCATCATCTAACTACTAATGACACAAAAATATTTCAATAGATTTGCCTGCAACTGGAATCTCTAAGTCACCAAAGGATCATTCCTCCTTCATCTGAGTTTTGAACTGTTTTCACTTCCAGTCACTGAACACAAAAGAATGAAAAACACAATCCCCACCCGTTATGCGAATTACCAGCATTATGAGATGCAGGAAAGCTAACATTTGCTGGTAAATAATGCATTGTATGTCAGACTGGTAAGAACCCCAGCTGTGATTCAGTGTTTTGCTTTGTTCCTCATG